CTTAATAATTCTACTCTTTTTTTTAGCTTATTTCTTTTAGACATTTGTACTTTTATTACCATTTATAAATATTGTTCTAAATCAATTAGAAAATAATATTAACATATATGAGATAAGTAATAACACATGATCTATACGCTGCTTTCAATTAATATATTTGAATCAATTAAATTAGTTATCCTATTGATCTAAAAACATAAAAGATCATTTCTAGGGCAATAGATACATAAGCTGAGAATATTAGAGTATATTGATACATCCATTACAATATTTTGCTAAATATTCAAATCTTTTAGTTACATATTCATGTAACACAATAATCTGAGAAACTTTATCTTATTATATCATGCATCAATAGTTTTTGATCATTTTAGTGATTATTTGTTTTTGACAAGCCATTAGATAAATTAGAATAAATAACAATACACTCTATAGGATGTTGATATTCCATATAATCAAATTATTTGGCCTAAAATTATATTATTTAGAATTGTTTTATGTGAAGCTGACTAATTATATTTCACACATTGATTATAATATAAGTTGATCAATATATGGAATTGAATAAGCTAATAAATTGTTGAAATATCACATGAAACTTCATAATTGAACATAAATGAAAAACAAACATATCCTAATGATTATAAATGTGTATATATGCTTTTCATGATCTTCACTGACTTAAAAAATGCATGGATATATCCAATTACAACAATTGATAGGGTACCAGTGGAAAAGTAAATTCTCTCAAAACGAAAGGAAACAGTTGATGTGATAATAATCAATATCCATTTCCTGGATTTGCTTTGTTTTAAACTCTTTGAAATAAACTTTTGCCTTAGATGTTGTCCCTCTCAAAGTATTTATGCTATCTTTCATCTTATTGTTATAGTGGATAAGGTCATTGATTTTAGTTAATGCACTACAAGTAAATAATCATATGGGAAATTCAGTATTAATTTGTTGTAAATTTTCTTAGCTAAATGAATTTAATATAAGTCATCATCAAATAGGATTAGGGATGAATTTTTACTGTTCAACAATAAGAGTTATTTGTTGTTAAATCATTGATTAAGTATAATAAAACTAGTTATTTTGTTAAGAACTGTTACAATCAATAAAGTCCGTCAATATACATGAAATTAACTAGTCACATATTTTAAGATGGATATTACATGGTTATCTTTTATGATTTTTATGATTTTATTGTTATTGTTGTTAAAGTTAGTTATGTTAATAAATACACTTAAAAAAAATTAACTATGAAATCATCACTAAATAGTCCAATATACCTAAAATAATTTTTGATAGACTGTCCTTAAATGAAATAAGTACAGATTTTTGTTGTTTACAAATAGAAAAATACAATGCCAATCTTAGTCTTTTGTTTAGTGATATAATATATAATTGTTTTGTCACAATATTATTGTTACAATATATAAAATCCAATTATATGCATAAAATTAACTATTAGCATGATGTATGATATAATTTAATTTTACTTGCAAATTTTTCAAAGTAATTGTGCATTTGCAAATTTTATTGCATAGAATGGACCATGGATCTTCGTGCAAAATTCAAGGAAGCTATACAACAACTTAGTGAAAGACGGAGTTTATCTCGTTAGTTATGTTTCTCTAAAATTAGTTTCTATATATGTTGTTAAATGAATATTGATTTTAATATTTGTATCTAATCTTTGTTAAAATTGTTTTGAGTTAAGGTATGTTGATTATTTTATTTACATGTACCTCAAATTTATCTAGGAATATTATGGTAGTGATTAAATTAAAGTTACATTCTGATGGATCATGTAGGTTGCTTACCAAAAACGATTCTCGAGATATTGAATATGTCAGGTTTTACAAGGATGGAAGTTGCCAGTTATCTACATATACGTTCTTAAATAGATGAAAGGATCTGCACACAAATAGCTGTGTAGATTTATTATTTATATTTTTCTAGTCAATATATCTTAATAATACATTTATTATATTTATTTATACATATTATATATTCGTAAGCTATTTTCAATTGAATTAGTTGAATGGACAGATATTAACTTTGAAATATTTTTATTGGTAAATTGTGTCGTATGTGTGTGTGTTGGGAATTTGTTTGGCCATAATATATTGTTTTATCAAATTATTTTACTATACTATTGATTACTATTTTAAAATAAGACATAAGCTTGGAAGGAATTGAAAGAACATACTTCGATCAACTGAACTCAACTCATTTAATTATAAAGCAATAATATTAAAGCAATATAAAGAAAAACTTATAAAACATGGATAACAACTCTATTTACTGAGAAACACAATAGTAACTCAGTTTATATGCATATATACAATGTAAACTGTGTTTGTATGTGAAAATACAAGTAATGTTTGTTCATATAAGAATGAAATATATAAATGTGGGAGTTTCTCTAACAGGCAACAATCACTAAGACTTATGAGATGATACAACATTTTGCCTCACACTGCTAAGATCGTGCTATACCTCGTAGGGGGGGGGGGGGTAGAACCTACCTATTATGTCGATCCACTAAGATATGCTTAAAAGCGTTAAAGAATCATCTAAAAATTGTAACCGTTTTTTGCCCACAGTGGTTACATGGTTTATGAGTCTGTAAGTTGTCTGAAATCTTCCCTTATCTGTGCTCAATACTACTCCCAAAAATGTACTAGATCATATGTTTAAAAACATTACTCTTTCTATGATTTGAGATAATTTCTCAAAAACAATCAAAAAGGTTCTCTTGCAAAACCGTGTTTCCTTTCCTGCTTAATTTTGAAAGAATTTTTTTTATCAAAATTATCTCAAAGGCTCTTTAGAAATTGGTGTTTCCTTTCTTGTTTAAATCTGAAAACATTTACTCGTTGGAATACATAGTCCCTATATAATCTTTTGAAGAAATAAATTTCACTCTTTACTCTTTACTTAACTCAAAACATGTAATGACCGGGTTCAATCATTATAGAAATGCCAATGGAGAAAAATTGGGGTTAGAAAAATATTTTAGTAGTAATTAGATTTTCCCAACCTTATCCAAATTTTGAGGAAATCAGAGTCTTTAAGGTGTAGGTAAATCTGGTAACAATCGAGCGACTTATTTATGAATTTGATTACAAGAGGTGTTAGATAACTCATTAGCAAACCATTATGAATTTACAAATTTGAATTTGAGTGAGTAAATATCCGTAAATCAATTTTAGCGTACAAGGTATTTTCTGAGTGTCTTGAGTTAGACGTGTGTTGTGAAATGGACTTTTGGAAATTCTAGAAGTAGCTCCCTTTTCCAAGAATCCCGCCATGGTGGGGGATTCTTCCACCCTGGCACCGCCGCTGTGGCGGGATGGGGGCAACTGTGGTAGGTAGGACACAAGTTAAAGTCATCAATAAACCCCTACACGATCCTATTTGTCACTTTTTGTCTTTTTGAGCTAAGGAATGACTGCAGACAATTTCTATTAATTTTTCACCATTCTTGAGGCTAAATGTAAGTTTTTCATCCCCAAATTCTTATTTTGATCCGTAAAATGTAAAAGAATGGGTTATAAAGGACGGAAAAAAAGTTTTGTTATGGATTATATGGTGGAGACAACACTAAATTTGTTAGTTAGGATCATGGGTTTGATAGAGGATTCATATAATTTTTAGTAATCCGGGTAGTTAGCGATTGTTTGTTGATTCCCATACTTTTAATGATTGTTGTACAACAAGAACCAACGGAACGAATCCGGAAGGTAAGGATCAAGTTTCTTAGGGTTTTTGTCACACCTCAAATTCCATTACGATGGATAGGCACCTGATGCCCTAAGGGCCCGAGAGAACCAATCTGAAATCTGTTCTTACTATGAAAATAACTATAATAATCGTGATAAGTTCAAAAAGGACGCAGTGACAAAAACCAACATAAGTAGACCCAAAAATTTATGTACAGGACTTGGTCGTTGAGGCCACAACTCCTAAGACACAACTGAACCATGTACATACGTCTACAAAGCCTCTATAAGATAGAAGACCTAGAGTAGGTCGGGACAGCCCCCACCTTACCTTAACTACTATACAATACCTAAATAAATTTACCAAGGACTCTATAAAGATCTTAATCAACATGGAGCTCACCAAATGTATGTGTGTGCCGTATTCTCCTATTGAGGAGGTCTACTAGATGGAGTACATGTGCATGCAGCGTCACCAACAAGGGACGTCTGTACAAAAAATGTACTGAATATGTAAGGAAATATAACATATGTAATACGAGGCTCAAATGATATCAGGTATCAATATATGAGTGCATAGATCAGGAGAGAAAACCACATTTGCTTACTCTTGTGAGATCATGTAAGTTACATTGTTTTCTTTACTTTTTTGTCTGTTATAATCTTTGTAGGGCATGCGATATAAGTGATCAGCTGATCAGTGGTAGAAGAGGATGACCCATACTTTGCATATTAACCCCTAGGATGCGGTCCTCTTAATCACACAATTAGGGATCGGCCCAAGCTAGGCTTTCGCCCCTGAGGTGCCACCTTTCTATACCAATAGGAATCGGCCTATGCTAGGATATTGAGCTTCAACCCTTATGTACCAGTTGGGATCAACCCATGCTGGTCTTTCTTCCCTAGGCTACCAAACGTAATTATATAGATTTGTTCATTTTGATTCTTTAATCTTTGAAAATGTTGTTTATCAGTTCATTACTCTTTTAGGATTGTTATTTGGATAATTGTAACTCTTTTGAGATGTTATTTTGGTGGTCATAATCATTTTGGAGATATGGAAGTACGACCAGTAATAGAAGACATGAAAATAATACTTCAAGGCAATAATAATGCGATAATGAGCTATGTAACATCAACACATTACTTTAAGAGCTTGATGATACAATTGACTTCAAACAACAAAGATGAGGATTTACCAGACTTGCTTTTGCAAATACCATTTCTATGCCAGTACATGGGGGGGGGGGATAATTACACATGTATAAAAAAGTGAACATATAATGAAGTAGTTCTATACACTACTGAGAGGAGGAAATATTGTTAGCTTTTTGGAGATAGTACGCTGCAACTATGTTTCCTTTTCTAGGAATAGAACTTATGAGATTCACTTCATTGGTATTAATTGCAAGTATCAAATTTCATGCCAAAGGCTTATCGAATCGAATATCCTTACATACCTTATCCTCTAACCAATATAACTATCATAATTCAGCCTCCACTTTTAGATTTAATCTGCAATTTAAGTGATGGTAAAACCGTGAGCCTAGTAAAACAATAGCTAACTTTGACAGATAATGAACCCATTCAGCCTTAGCATAATGTATATCACCACACCCTTATTCTATGTCCAACATATACATTATATATCCTTTCCCCAAGATCAACCAAGGTGCACCAACAATAATACATATAGAACAACCCCAAATATTCTATATCATACACAAGGAAGACAAAAAAAATGTGGCAGTCACCTTACCTCAATTTCTGCAAGTTCTCCTTATAACTTGAATTCTTCTAGAACTTCAACTTCCCTTCACACTTAAACCAAAGAAGATGAAAAAGGTCTCTTAATAACTAATGAAGTGAGCATTAGCTTCTTGAAATTTTCTGCTTTTGTATTTATACATGAGCATGAATAACAAGTTTTTGTAATCATCCATGGGAGAATTAAGCAAGATCCAAGTGTTTTCACTTACCTTGGTTTGCAGATATAAGGGTTTTTGAAGAAACTAGAACTACTTAAAACTGTTGTTTTAATCTTGAATAAAAGAGAGAGAGAGAGAGAGAGCGAGCGAGCGAGAGAGAGAGCTGGAGATAATTCAAAATATTATGTGTTAAAATGGGTGAAGAATATCTGCTTATATTGGATATGTATGGAGTTTTATTGACCACAAAAATACCCTCTAGAACCTCTTTTTTTTGGGTCCATTTTCAGCCACTAATTGGTCAAGTAGGTGATTGCATATGCTTATGCACATCAAGTAGCTCAAAAGGTCAAACTAGGTGATGCACCTACTTGCTTTCACTTGGGCTTTATCTATATTGGGCCTTGATAGATTTGGCTTCTGGGATTTCTTTCATATTTATTTTCTTTTGATAGGTTTGGACTTCAATTGAGACCATTACTATAATTCTAAAGCTGGTCCATCAAGCTTGGGACCTTTAACAATATCCATATAGCTTAAGTAGGTGATGCAACTGCTAGCTTAATAATGTCAAGCAACCAAGTCAATTATTTTATTTTATTTTATGAATATTACATCCTTTTGCTTCAACTTGTAACTTAACTTTCAAATTTTAAGCTCAATTACCACCTTACTATCTCTAGTTTAAATACATCTGGCGGGGTCAACTTACAGTAAACACGCTGAAACGTGCATGACATAATACATCACTTTCCGCATATAAGGAACATGGTCCCTCACCTATACTATAAGGCCTGGAGTATCACAAAAATAGATTAAGCATATGCGTAAGACGTGCTGTTACATCCCCCCCTTAAATTATTTGTCCTCGAATGTTACCATAGTTATCCAGCCCAAATAGATTCAAGCCTAAGTTAGTACTACTATTAATCACATAATACATATAGACGTATACTTACTTGTTGGCATATAAACTAAGCATTTTCATCTTTTTCTTCGATCTGAAAAAGATGAGGATACTTCAATTTCATTGCTTCATTCGCTTCCCATATAACTTCTTCTACTTGTTGGTTCTTCCATAACACTTTTACAGAAACTACTTCTTTATTTTTTAACTCCCTAACTTGTCGATCAAGAATAGCAATGGGTACTTTTTCTTAAGTGAGGTTCCCGTAACCTGTACATCTTCAGTAGGAGTAATACCAGATAGGTCACCTACGCGTTTTCATAGCATTGAGACATGAAACACCGGATGAACTGATGAAAGGTCTTGTGGTAGATCTAACTAATAGGCTACTTGGCCGAATTTTCGAATAATCTTATATGGCTCTATATAGCGTGGACTAAAATTTCCCTTTTTACCAAACCTTATTACCTCTTTCGTTGGAGACACCTTTAAGAACACCCAATCTACTAAAGAAAATTCTAGTACTCTCCTTCTAATATACACATATAATTTATGTCGACTTTGAGATGTTTCTAGACGCTGCTGTATCACTTTCATTTTTTCCATTGCTTGAAGGACAAGATTTTACCCAAATAAGACAGTTTCACCTATTCCGAACCAGCCAATTGGTGATCTACACTTTCGACCATATAAGGCTTCATATGGTTCTATTTTGATGCTCAAATGGTAGCTATTGTTATATTCAAATTCAATAAGTGGTAGGTGATCATCCCAGTTACACTTGAAATCTAATATAAATCTCACAACATATCCTCAAGTTTCTGAATTGTACATTATGCCTGGCCATCCTTTTGAGGGTGAAAGGGTGTACTTAAATTCACTTATGTTCCAAAACTCTTCTGAAACAACTTCCAAATTTTTTTTGAGATCCTTTATAAGATATTACAGAGATTGACACTCCATGTAGTCGAACTATCTCTTTAATGTACAACCTCGCATACTCTTCAGTTGTTTAAGTAGTCTTCACCGGCAAGAAGTGCGCTGCTTTGGTGAGTCTATTGATTATTACCCATATGTAGTCAAACTTCCAGAATGAGCAAGTAAAACCAGTGACAATATCCATGTTGATCATGTCCCATTTCTAAATTGAATTTTCTATATGCTGCATATAACCTCCAGGCCTCTGGTGTTCTACTTTTACCTATTGACAATTTGGACACTGAGCCATGAATTCTACAATGCCCATCTTTATGTCCCCCCACCAATACATTTCTTTCAAGTCATGATACATTTTAGTTGACCCCGGATGAACAGAGTATCTTGAATGCTGTGCTTCCATCATGATCCTCTTTCTTAGTTCATCTATATTAGGTACACACAATCTTTTTGACATAAAAGTACTCCCTCTTGCGAAAGGTCAAATAAATTTGTCATACCATGTTTTACATTCTCCTTAAGCTGTAAAAGAACAGGATCAGTATACTGCTTGTCTTTCACTTCTACTACTAATGAGGATTCTGCTGCATTTTGCACAATAACCCCTCCATCTTGAGATTCAAGAAGGCAAACCCCCAAACTAGCTAGTTGGAATAAATGCTTAGTATTTCTTGTCGTTCCACAGACTGCCCAAAAATACTTGCTAGTATTTTACGGCTTAAAACATTATCTACTACATTTGCCTTTCCAGGATGATACAAGATATCAATATCATAATCTTTAAATAGCTCCAGCCACCTTCGTTCCCTTAGATTTAAGTCCTTTTGCTTAAATATATATTGCAAACTCTTGTCTTCAGTGTATATGTCAACATAAACTCCATACAAGTAGTGGCACCATATCTTAAAAGCAAACACAACTGCTGCTAGCTCTAGATCATGGGTTGGATAATTTTTCTCATGTAGCCATAGCTGCCTTGATCCATTAGCTATAACTTTACCATGCTGCATCAACACAACCTAATCCCACTCCAGAAGCATCACAATACACTGCATAACCTTCTGTGCCTTCTGGAAGTACCAATACAGGTGTAGAAGTTAATTTACTCTTTAGCTCTTTGAAGCTTCTTTCACATTCATCAATCCACTGAAACTTGGTTTCATTGTATGTTAGATTTGTTAAGGGTGCAACATTGGAAGAGAATCCTTCAATGAACCTTCTGTAATAACATGCCAATCCAAGAAAACTACAGATTTCCATAGGAGTTGTAGGTCTTGGTCTATTTTTCACAACTTCTGTCTTATGGTTATCAACCTTTATTCCTTCGTTAGATACAATATGACCTAAGATTGCCACACATTTAACCCAGAACTCACATTTAGAGAACTTCACATACAATTTACAATCACGAAGAATTTGTAAAATGTGCCGCAAGTGGTTATGATGATCCTCTTACGATCTTGAATACACCAAAATTTCATTTATGAACACTATCACGAACACATCTAAAAATGTCTTGAACACCCTATTCATAAAATCTATAAAAGTTGTTGCATTTGTTAGCCCGAATGACATGACTGAGAACTTAAAATGACCATACCGCGTTCGGAAAGCTGTCTTAGGTATATATTTTTCCTTGACCCTCACTTGGTGATAACCCTACCTCAGGTCGATCTTTGAAAAAAAACCTAGCACCTTGTAACTGATCAAACAAATCATCAATTCTAGATAGGGGATATTTGTTCTTAATTGTTACCTCATTCAACTACCATAGTCGATATATATTCTTAACAATCCATCTTTCTTGTGTACAAGTAAATCTGGTACTCCCTATGGAGACATACTAGGCCTTATGAATCCTTTTTCTTATAAGTCTTTTAATTGCTCCTTCAACTCCCTAGTTCTAAAGAAGCCACTCTATAAGGAGGAATTGAGATAGGTTGAGTATCTGGAAGCATATCAATACCAAACTCTGCTTCTCGTTCTGGAGGCAGACCTGGAAGATCCTCAAGAAACACATCTAGAAATTCATTTACAGTGGAACAGATTGAAGGGTTGGTGGCTCTATATCTAAATTTTTCACTCTGACCAGGTGACATATGTATCCTTTGGAAATCATCTTCTTTGCCTAAAGATAAGAAATAAATTTACCTCTTGGAGCCCAATATTACCTTTCCATTCGAGGACTACCTCTTTTGGAAACTGGAAATGCACTATCTTAGATCGGCAATCTACCGTGGCATAAAAAGAAGATAACCAATCCATACCCAGTATGACATCAAAATCTACCATGTCTAGATCAACAAGGTTAGACAATGTATCGCGATCACAAACAGTTATAATGCAATTACGATAAACTCTTCTAGCTATAATAGACTCATTAATCGGTTTAGACACTTCAAATTGCTTCACCAATAATTCTGGTGTTCTTTTGAACTTTCCAGCAATCAATGGTGTAGCATATGATTATGTATACTCTGGATCAATTAATGCATATACAATATGTGAAAAGATGGACAACGAACTTGTGACCATATGTGGGCGAGGCTTCTGAATTTTGTTGATCCCTTAGTGCATATGTGCGATTCTGACCTTCACTAGAACTAGATGCTCCCCTGTATCCTCTACCACAAACTGTGGGCATATGTATCCCCCTACCCAAATAAGGTGTTGATGAGTTTGATGCAAAAACTTATCTAGTTGGGTGTGCAATGCCACCCACGCCCCTATGAGGGTAGTTACTCATCATATGTCCTGGTGTGCCACACCAAAAACAAACATCTGTCCCAAACCTCCATTCCCCTAGATGATTCCTCCCACAATATTTACAAGGATGTCGAAGAGGACTTGATTGGCTCATAATTCCCTACTCTTGATGACCCACTATTTGTGAGCCTTGTCTTTCACTTCTTTGCCCAAACTGATTGCCCCTAAACCGTTGAAACTATGCTAGAGAACTAGCTGCAGAGCAGAAAAATTATGGCCTAGGTGGTCTGTTAGAGAATCGAGGCCTAAACTAACCTTGGGATGGTATAAACTGCCCCATGGATTTGGACCTTTTATAATGCCCTGTTTTAAACTCTTGTGCCCTTCTTCTTTGCCTTTGATCCTCCAACTTTTGCGCAAAGGCCTGCATCCTTACTATGTCCATGTCTTTATTCAATGAAGCAATGGTATAGTCTCTAACTAAATATGGGTATAATCTATCCACATATAGATGAACTCTATCCTCCATGGTAGCTACTACATTAGGAGCATATCTGGCCACTAAATTGAATTTGA